AGCCAACTCCCTATAGGTCAAAACCTTCCCATCATGCCAGGCAAATCAATCAAGGACATCTGCTGGAACAAATACAGGGGAAAGGGCACCTCTGCATGTTAAAAGCCCAAAATAACAGGCAGCACTGGATACCAATGTGTAGGCAGCCTTACAAATTTACAGATGAGGTTGTGACCCTTCCACTAACACTTCCATATACCCATGTGAATCAAGAGAAAAGGAATGATTTATGGGACTAATTCCACTACCACATTTTCTGTAGGGAACTATTTCCAAATGGGACTGCAGAGAGGTTTGTTGTTAAGAAAATGCAGTCAGAAACAATCAAATATAGAATTCTGATCTGTCAAGACATTAAAAACCCAGTGTGGCCTGAAATAAGGATGAAAAGGAGGTGGGAAGGCTGCTCTCTCTCTCTGATGGACAAAGCAGAACTCATTGGCTGTTGCATTTAATTTGCCCATTTTGGTGGTTCCTCACTCCAACCTAAGTAGCTATGGAAGAAGTGGGAATTTTTGCCTACAGTATAAATGATGGTTTCCTCAATTAGCATCTAAAATTCCATTCTGAAAAAAAAGGCAAAACTTAAGGAGCTAAGAGATAACTTTATGAACATAAAGCTCTTTTCAGGGGTGTTCCTTTGGATAAAGACACTCCTTCCAGTAAATGTTTAAATTATTTAAGGGATTTTTAAACAATTACACAGCCCTCGTGATAGTTAGCAAATATTTTGGAAAATCTGCATTTTCCATGCAAATAGCCAACTAACAGTGGCTAACACTGAGTGTATTGAGTGGGTTGCAGAGAAGGTTGTCTTTCCTCTATGAAACATTTGCAAGGGGAAAGATCCACATGATTATGTTTCCATGCTGGATATCAGGTGACTTTATTCAAACACCAGGGATGTTTGTAATCAAAAATAGGGATGGGAAAGATGTATCGCCCTCTTGATGATGCTCTACTGTATGACCTCATTCCACATTGGGTACACACAAGTTAGGACTGATGGGATCTGCAGTCTACCTGGAGAACCACAAATTGCCCATTCCTTGTTTAAATTAAAGGGATAATAAACAATGACTGTAATATAGTATATCTTGCAGGTTCAAACTTAGGTTTTAGGGAAGAGTAGCAGCATGTACACAAAGGGCCCATGCCAAGTGCCATTTAAAACAGTACTACCAAAGTAGCAGTCCATGAGACGTTGGCTGCTGTCCCAGGAAACAAGCTATTGTACCCAATGGGTGCAAATTTAGTGCTGGTTACCAACACACTGGAAAGCAATAATTGTCCCCCCCTTTACTAGGTAGCCTGAGAAAGCACTGAGGACCAATTTGTAATGGGAGTGGGTGGCTCTCTACCAAAAAGTTGCTGCTCTTACACAATTTGAACCTTACTGTCCTTAATACATAAACTGGTACAAACAAGGAAAGTTGCTATGCCCAGCTAGAGCAAACACAGCTGGAATGGCTATGATTAAAAGAATAATGAGCTAAAACCTCCATCTACATTATCTAAACTATGACAGAGTAGATACCAATTAAGAGTCGACTAGTGGATCTAGCAATTGATTAGGTGTGCAGGGTAGCAAAGCAATGAAGTGATGTTTATTCTTAATGTAGTTAGGGTAGACTAGTAATTTACCAGAAAGCTTTTAGCTTCAAGTTAAACTTTGGTGGCTTATTGCTACAGCAACAGTGGTCACTAGAGCTAACAATCTGGCAGATGTTTGCATTACAAAGGGCATTCTTCCATTCTCTAAGCAAATTATTCCTACATCAATTTCAACTACATAAAGTACTTGCCATTAATTGTTGGTAAGAAAACAACAGGTGGGTTGTCTTATTGTTGTATGACATTTTAAAAACTTTGCATGTTGCTTTGGTAGCTGTTTTCAGAACAGATCTACTGCTTAAAATGCCATTTAAAAAAGTTGAATAAATATAATCTAGCAAGTATTTGAATTTCCTGACAAAGGAAGCTTTATAGACCAGAGAAAAAGTAGAAAATAATTTGGTTCTCACTGTAATACAAATATATTTAATTCTGTATGTTCAAAACAGTATGGAGATCAAAACACAG